CATGCCCAGCTAATTTTTTGTAGCTTTAGTAGAGACGGGGTTTCACCATGTTGACCAGGATGGTCTCGATCTCTTGACCTCGTGATCCACCCACCTCGGCCTCCCAAAGTGCTGGAATTACAGGCTTGAGCCACCGCGCCCGGCCCCTAAACTAGCCTCTTAAGGACAAGAACCTCATCTATTTTGTCCACACCACAGCCCCAGTGCCTATAACTGAATAAGAGGAGTCAAAGAGTGACCTTTTAGTCTCTTACAACTCTGAGGTAATTGTTCTCTGCCTACCATAGGTATCTTGCTCACCATGCTTTCCACAGTGCCCAGAACAATGTCAGCTATGTAGGAGGTGCTCAGTAACTGTGAATAAATGATCTTTTCAGGGAGCTCTGCTCTGGAGTATTATCCCTTCCCAGATTTGTTCTCCCTGCTGATCCCGTTGCTTCCACAGTGGCTGGTTTCCCCATTCAACCTCAGTCTCTCCTTCAGTCTTCTATGGCAATCTGTTAACTCCATAGCTTAGGGTTTTCTGTAGGCCTTTCAGGAGTCATCAACTCTCTTGCCCTATCACCATCATTAGATTAGGCTCACAGATCAAAAAATAATTGCATTATGGAAATAACTGCCGGCCTGCCAGATTTCTCACCGCCCTTCACATTTTTCCATTGTTACACAGGATGTCAAATATGTCAGAAGAAAAACTGACTGCATACTTTATGCAAATAGGCATGAAGAGATGGCCTGTGAAGTGTGAGCTATTTCTATTGTCCTGTTCCGTCCTCATGATGAGACATACTGGGTACAAAAGGAGACTTTAGATTCTGGGTTTTTCTGTTTTTCTCAACTGAATAAATGGACAGCATCAGGAGTCAGGGCTGCAAGAGAATCAGCTTCCCAGGGCTCCATAAGAAACAAGAAGCCTGACTTCCTAACCATGCTGGCAGCACATGGCAATGGAAAGTCACTAGAAAGTTCTAAGCCAAGCTTGTCCAACCTGTAGCCCACAGGCCACATGCAGCCCAGGACAGCTTTGAATATGGCCTGACACAAATTTGTAAAGTTTCTTAAAACATGAGATTTTTTTTTTTAAGCTCATCAACTACCATTAGTGTTAGTTTGTTTTATGTGTGGCCCAAGATAATTCTTCCAGTGTGGCCCAGGAAAACCAAAAGATTGGACACCCCTGCTTCTAAGCCATTGCATCCTTGATACAAATAGTGAATAGCACACTTCATCTGCCCAGGGTGCCCTGAAAGTTAAAAGTGAAGTCAGGCCAGGCGCAGTGACTCAGGCCTGTAATCCCAACACTTTGGGAGGCCCAGGTGAGTAGATCACTTGAGGTCAGGAGTTTGAGACCAGTTTGACCAACGTGGTAAAACCCTGTTTCTACTAAAATTACAAAATATTAGCTGGGCATGGTGTCAGGCACTGTACTCAGGAGGCTGAGGCAGGAGAGTCACTTGAATCCTGGAGGCAGAGGTTGCAATGAGCCAAGATTGCCCCATTGTACTCTAGCCTGGGTGACAAGAGAGAAACTCCATCTCAAAAAAAAAAAAGAGTCAGAACAGAGTGTTTGTGATCTACTGTGGGAAGCCACAGTAAAGATGGTAATTTAATGACTTTCTTTGGGTTGGCTCTTTTAGGGAGGGACATTGCTTGGGCCCCCAGACTCTGTGGTTGATGTGGGGAGTACAGAAGTCACAGAAGAAATCTTTCTGGAGTACCTGTCCTCCCTGGGGGAGTCCCTGTTCCGGTGAGTGGAGACAGGGGTGGTGGTTAGTTGTGTCTGTCTCCCCAACCAGATAATCAACACCTGGAGGCAGCTGCCATGTCATCTCATCCTTATCACTCAGCACAAGGCCTGGCCCAGTTTTTTTGCTTAATTAACATGAAGAAAGGGCAGTTATACTACAAAAAGAGTTCTAAGTTGTTCTGATACGGATATTCCTTCCAGCATACTTTCTGCTGAAATTTTTAGAGGAAACAAGGGCTTTTCATTCCTTCTGATTAAAATCAGCAAGTGCTGTTCTCAACCTTTATTGGACAAGTTTGTAGAAGGAAAAGCAGGGTTTGCAGAAGGGTTGGGATGAAATACAAACATAAGCAGACTTTTCCTGAAAGAGGCTTTCATCAGTTTCAGTACGGGGTAAATACTAACACCAGAGCTCTGCTTTCATGAATGTAAAGATTCTCCTGAACTGTGTAGGAGCCATGTATTTTCAGTTTCTCCTTCCCTTAAAAATCAGTTATTAATGGCCAGAATGGCAAATAAGCAGTGTTTCTGGTGTATCAGAGCGGGGAAATCACAGTCCTTACATTAAGCTATGCTCACTATTCCACGGCCTAGCTTGAGTTATTCCACATAGACGCTTGCTGGCTTCTCATATCTGTTCTGCAAATCTTTCAACATACAGAGGTGAGGCCTACAACCTCTTCGAACACAACTGTAACACCTTCAGCAACGAAGTGGCACAGTTCCTGACTGGGCGGAAGATTCCTTCTTACATCACAGACCTGCCCTCTGAAGTTCTCTCCACGTAAGTGTGGCCTCTGTCCCCACCCCTGCCTTGGCCAACCTCCCCATTAATGGTCAGTGCCCTTTCTCTGGCCATCTGCCCTCCCAACCAGGTGGGCCTGTCCTGATGGCAGCTTCTAACACAGAAGGCTGCTGTTCGCTACACCCACTGTTGTGTACCTGTATTACCTCCACCTTCAGAGCTAGACCAGCTCTGCCTTGGCCTAAGTTCAACCACAGAACTTAGTAACCCACTTGACATTAGCTTTAGTATTTGCATAAAAGTCTGGCATCTGTCCTTCCCATTGTGGTTGAAGCATGCCACTCCCCAGAAGTACCCAACTAAAATGCATTATTAGACGAGCAGAGAGGGGGTCAGAAAAATAGTAGAGGGGCTTATTTTATAGCTGTTGATTTGTCTTTCTCCACTGCACCAGGAGCTCTGACTCCCTCACAGACTAAGTTCTACTTGCCCTTGTGCATTACAGCACAGTCAGCCTTCAACAGATGTTTTCTTCAAGAACATTCTGCAGCTCCTTCTGTCCTTATGTGGCCCAAGCCTTGAAAGAGGCTTGTAGGCCATCATCCAGGTGGTATCGGCTAAAAAGACAAAACACCCCCTAAAGCCATCTCACCCCTCTCCTTCCCATTGCCATTGCTTGCATTCAGGCAGTCTCTGCTCACTCCAGGACCATGTCTGTTTGCTTCTTCTGACTCAGTTTCTTCTGAATTATGACCCTTACTTAACAGAGATCTTAACAGGTTTAGCAGGCCCAGCAAGGTGGGCTATTTTTTATACCTGAGGAGGAACCCCAGGAAGAGCTTGCATAGGAAATGAGGCTGCTGTGGCAGACTGGTGAGGAGCCCCAGTCTGCCAGGTGTGGCCCTGCCTTCCTATCGCTCAATGGGTATGCAGCCCCACAGCCCTGCTGAGGGATGTAGGTTATGGGGCCCTGAGCAAACTGGAGTAGCCAGAATGTTCTTACTGGTATTATTTGATGGGTGGAGTTCCTGGAATTGTCTGAATTAGGGTTGATATTTGTAGGTGTCATCTGTTTATACTTTGGAGTACTTCATTCCTTTGAACTTAGAGATGACTTTCAAAAGTGACAGTATCCACTGAAAAGCCAGTGATTGAAATGTGTTGTGGGCAACCTTATTTATGGTTGTTGTAATCATGGAAAATCTCCAAACTCCAGTATTTGCAGTGTTTTTTCCAGCTAAATTACTATGAGAGCAAACTAGGAACCCTTTAGAAAGACATTAGTGGCTGGGCGTGGTGGCTCACACCTGTAATCCCTGCACTTTGGGAGGCTGAGGTGGGTGGATCATAAGGTCAGGAATTTGAGACCAGCCTGGCCAACATGGTGGAACCCTGTGTCTACTAAAAATACAAAAATTGGGCCGGGCGCGGTGGCTCAAGCCTGTAATCCCAGCACTTTGGGAGGCCGAGGCGGGTGGATCACGAGGTCAAGAGATCGAGACCATCCTGGTCAACATGGTGAAACCCCGTCTCTACTAAAAATACAAAAAGTTAGCTGGGCATGGTGGCGCGTGCCTGTAATCCCAGCTACTCAGGAGGCTGAGGCAGGAGAATTGCCTAAACCTAGGAGGCGGAGGTTGCGGTGAGCCGAGATCGCGCCATTGCACTCCAGCCTGGGTAACAAGAGTGAAACTCCGTCTCAAAAAAAAAAAAAAAAATACAAAACTTAGCCGGGCGTGGTGGCCCCCACTGTAATCCCAGCTACTCGGGACACTGAGGCAGGAAAATTGCTTGAACCCAGGAGGCATAAGTTGCAGTGAGCCAAAATCGTGCCATTGCACTCCAGCTCTGGGTGACATAGCAAGGTGGCACGTCTTGGGGACAGCAAGAGAGAGGAAGAAAGGCATTAATACTGGGAACCTGGCATTTGTCATTTTTCCTGAATATTCCCTGTACTCCCTGGCAGACCTCTGTTCCTGGAAGAATTTAGTTGTGTGCTGTCCTCACCCCTAACTTTGTCTTCTTTTTTTTTTTTTTTTTTTTTTTTTTTTTTTTTTTTTTTTTTTTCCCCCCCCCCTCTTTTTTTTTTTTTTTTTTTTTTTTTTTTTTTTTTTTTTTTTTTTTTTTTTTGGGGATGGAGTCTCGCTCTGTCACCCAGGCCGGCCTGATCTCTGCTGACTGCAACCTCCATCTCCTAGGATCAAGTGATTCTCCTGCCTCAGCCTCCTGGGACTACAGGCGTGCACCACCATGCCCAGCTAACTTTTTGTATTTTTGGTAGATAGGGGGTTTCACTGTGTTAGCCAGGATGGTCTCAAACTTCTGACCTCATGATCTACCTGCCTCGACCTCCCAAAGTGCTGAGATGACAGGCTTGAGCCACCGCACCTGGTCTATCTTCTTTTTTATATCCTTCTTATTTTGCCTCAGTTTCCTTGCTTAAATTTGATCTTTTTCAGCTGGGCTTAGTGGTTCACGCCTGTAATCCCAGCACTTTGGGAGGCTGAGGCGGGCAATTGCCTGAGGTCAGGAGTTTGAGATCAGCCTGGGCAACATGGTGAAACCCCGTCTCTAATAAAATACAAAAAAATTAGCCAGGCATGGCGTGTGCCTGTAGTCCTAGCTACTTGGGAGGCTTTGGCAGGAGAATTGCTTGAACCCAAGGGGTGGGGGTTGCAGT